TGTTGAATTAAACTTGCTTTGCCTAAATGATAACGACTCGAGTAGCTTCTGAGCCTTCGGTGAGACTTGTGCTGGTCTGATGTCCTGTAGTGTTCACGTGTTTTGTTTTAATATGTCAGCCTGTTTAAGAAGCCATCAGTTTATAACGTGAATGTTTCTGTCATCATCAGATGGTTTCTGTAGAAGTCGTTAACTTTGTCCACAGGTCTCTGTGACCTGATTATAATCACTAAGGTTTATTTTCCTTTCTACTGGCTGGTAATAGTTTTTAGTCTCATCCTGATGATACATGTCATTGTTTATCTGCTCTGAAGTAGCTTTTCATAAGTCACGAGCCCTTCGATTCGTCCTCTATATGAAATAAGCTGCTTTAGCTACTTTAAGACAAAGTTCGTCTGAATGATCTTCCTCTCACAAAGTTTTTAAAGTGGGCAGATGCTCCTGAGCTCACAGCCAGAGCTGTGTTACATCATGTTGGCAGACTCGTGTGTTTGTGTTCCTACAAACTTTTCTGAAACTCCCTCAAACTGTTTAAGATAAGATGCCACTCTTGAGACGAGGGCAGGAACCTGAATATGACAACAAGAGAAAGATCTGCCATTAGTGAGGCGTCAACACCTGAAGTAAAAGCTGTGGTAGTGATGAGCAGGACAGGGGAGAAAATGACACGAAAGTGACGCTGAAAAGGTGAAACAAAGCTCTCACACTCGCCCTGTCAGCAGCTGCAGGGATGAAGGGTTAAAAGTAAACAGAAGACAGTGAACTTTGCTCCTGGTCGACTGTAACATCACGTCTTCGTGCACATTCTGCAACTCTGAGATCATTAAAGCCTGTTTTTATGAACTAACTTACATTTAACCAAGAAACTCTTGAGATGATCGGTTAATTATTAGTCAGTGTTAACGCGGAGGGTTTGGTGATGGTGAGAGAAACCAGAGCAAACATGCGAGCCATCAGTGGGAGGATGAGATGATCTGTAATGACTTTATTTGACTGAAAGTTACTGGAAACAGACAGTTTATTTTGCTTCGTATTAATCTGGTTGTCTTATACAATTCGTCTGATGTTGTTAGTTTTTAGAACATTTTTTGTTACATTTCTGTTACACGTCTTTCAACTAATGAGCTGTAATTACTATAAAGAATACAACAGGAGAGCGTGTCTTTGTCACTGAAGGGTTTTATTTGTATTCAGCATTAATAATTAAAGCTTCCTTACAGTCACAACAAAACTGAAATGCAAGCAATTAAACATGAACAAATAAAAGAAACAGTAGTTTGAAGCAAATTATACAGTTACACATTAAATATTGATTATTTCTTTTGTTGGAAACAAAGTGAAAAACATTTTAAAAATTCAGTTTCTCAATAAAATCTCCAGCAGCTGCTGTTTTAAACAACGATCCTTCAAACTGCCTGCATGAAAACGGCGCTAACGACGAGGAGCCAAAAGACTCACGAGTCTCCAGGATCCTCCCGCAGAGAGCAGAGTGCTGCCCGCCGAGAGGCTTTACATATTAATGGAGGAACATCCCACCAACTCACACAGGCACGTTATAAAAACAGGTATAAAAAGATAAAAGAATAAGAGACACTTTAGAGCGGCTTCGAAACTAAGCAGTGCAGTTACAGCCGCTCCGTCAGTGAGTTTAAGTTGATCTACTTCACAAAGCTTCTTTACTGGGAATCAGACACGAGCGGATGGAAAGGTAAACACAACGAAGGGCTAAAGAGCAGGAAGAGTTTCCAGGCGTGTTTTTTTCTGTGTAAGTAATGTATTTGTGTGTGGACGAGGAAGTGAGGGGGCGCGTGGGGTTAAAAGTCCAACCTGTCACAGTGAGAAACAACAACTGTTGTCAACATCGTGTCAGGAGTCACTGAAGTCGACGGCGTGCAGACGTGTCTCAAAACGCCTGAAAATAAACACGTTCAGCCAACGTTTCCTCCTTTCCACTGTTATTCTTACTGCATTTAGTTGATATCATATAAGAGCTGCTACAGTACAAAGCACATTGTTGCTAGTAACTTGTTGTGATGATGTCGGAGCAGCGCAGCTATTCCACGCTGCCATGTGTGTCACCTCCTCACGCTGCATTCAGCAGCTTTTTTATTTCCAGTAGTTTAAAGTATCAGGACTATTCCCTGCAGCATGTGTGCTGCACGGGAGAAAATATCCACAGTGCATGTATGAACAAATATATCATGGCTGAACAGGTTTCAATAGAAAGATTTCAGCACTTCATCCGATCGCACGTCGCTGATAAACTCTCTGGATCGCAGCCTGACTCATCCTGATGAAGCTACTCAGATTTTACAAAATCATCTTTCAAATATATAAAAGTGTTTCTTCTGAAAACAAACGCACCCATCATCAGCTCAGCAACAGTTTAGAAACAGAAGACTTCCCTGTGTAACTCCTAACAAACACTTCTCCTCTGTCATTGTTGCGTCTTTGCAGGAGGAAAAACTCGAGCAGGGCGCACGTAGGTCACGTAACTCTAATCTCAGTTTTCAGCCTCTTCCATCACTTCCATCACCACGGTTCTGGGTCCCGTTAGGATCAGATAGCTGACTATCCGGTAGTCCAGATCAAGAACGTTGAGGCCGTTGACTGAAACCACAAACTGGCGAACCTGCAGATCAGGACACGAGACAGGAAGTAAGAACTTTTTCAAGTGTCTCTGCTGAAGTCAACATCAGTTCCTTAACAGAGCTGGCTTTTTGCCGTGTTGTGGTACAAACAACAGCACAGCCCTAGTTCAGCTTCAGTTGGTATCTCTTCAGCACAATATCAGCAGTAGCTTCTTCCTCTACTTCTAACTGCTTCGGTTGTGACCAGCCTTCCTCCTGTAGCCACCTGCCCTGTCACGCTTACCTTCATCCCTGCGAGAGCAGCTGGACCCTGAGGCTCCACGGCCTGGATGTGGCACGGCCGGTTTCCTCTGACCACAAAGCCCCAGCCCACCGCATCACCGACAATCTGCAGACACACAGACGACAGTCACACATTTATCTGCAGTGTGCGTGCTGTGCAAAAGTCTTTTACACAGAAAGTGAGAAAAAGACGTCGTCGTTCTCATCGAGTGTTTTATTCATGTCAGTCGTTCCTGACACCTGTTACACTCCAACACCAACACCATCATCTCTGAAACACATTCACATTAAAATAATAGAACAGCACTTTTAAAGAAAGAAGGTGTCCCATTCACTCATTTTTCTCTTGTACTGTGAAAAAAATGTTACAAGTTTTCCCCTCAGCTTCATAGAAAACTCTCTGAAGTGTGTAAAATGAATTTACCGTGAAGGTTTTCCTGATGTAGGGTCCTCCTGGTTCTTGTAGCTCCTCTGTGCTCACTGGTCTCTTGAGGACTGAGACAAAAGTAAAAGACATTTTAGATTTAATGCAAGTGGGTAACTTTCCATGTTGGATTTGGCAGATTTTTATGACTAAAAGCAGTTTGGTTTCCATATTTGGAAAAGCAAAGACGACGCTAACGCTGTAGAGGTCTAAAGCTGCTCCTTAATTCAGTTGTTGAGCATTTTTATTACCAGATTTGGGGTTGGAGAGCACCAGGGAGGAGGAGGAGGTGCTGGGGAGACCGACTCG